TGCTGAGTCTCCTCCTCCTTCCGTCCCCTTGACATGCAAAATACACATCCAGTGAATACCTACACAATGAGAGCTCGTGAGATTCCCTCTATGCCCATTCTGGAACTCTTGTGCAGGATTCCGTTGTTTTGGTTGCTGCTGAGCTTGACGTTACGTGCATTGCACCTGCGGTATGGCCCGGTCTGGGGTTGTACCGTGCAATAATAACTTGGACCTACCAGGAGTTCAACAGAGTAAAGGTTTCAGGATATGCTTTCTGCAAAGTGAATTGCTTTTTAAGTTCTGTTTTATTTCCTGTTGTTAAGATTTTCATCTGTAAATGTTGTGCTCCTATATGAAAACTAAGTGCCATACACTGATTTTCCATAAAGTGTGTGTTTTCTCTTTGGTCTTCAGCCTGCCTTCTGAAATCACTTCTTTACAGTTAAATGCTGTTGATATTTGATTTTGGTGGTTATTTCTGATCAGCGTCAACATGCTAGCACTTTATGTATTTTCCCAGCCTAGAGATCTGTCAGTTCCCATTTCTTTACTATTAGGAAATGAAGATTGAATAAGAAGGTTCTGTGACAATATATATAAAAAAAAAGAAAAACAAAAAGTAAAAAGAATGGTAAAATATGCCCCTCATAATTCACTGCTGACAATTCACTTCCGATTTCGTGTGCTTAGGTATTTCCCACCCAGGTGGCTGTTCCCATGATGCTGCAGTCCACGCGTTGCAAAAACGTGGTATTCGTCATAATGACACAGCAAAAAGGTACGGCTGTGAATCTCCCCTCCAAAAAGCCATCAGAGAGAGCGGTGTGGAGCGGGAGAACCTGTGGAGAACTACCAAACTGTGGCGTAGTGATTATGGCTATGAAAGCACAAAAAAGCCTGCTTGGAGTCATGTTGAAAGACTTGGTGTTGAATATCTCGGTATGAATCTTTACATATAGCTCATTTATTGCGCCTTCCATGCGGGTATTTGCAAAGATGAACGAATTCCTGAAAAAAATGATGTGGTACAGGTAGATCACAGACACCAAATTCTGCCCTTACTTAAACATTTGCAGATTTGTTGTTCTGTTTGTTCTCTAGAAGTTCACGTGCATATAATTGAGAGCACAGATTTTTTCCTTGTTGCAAATGTTTTAAAACAGATCGAGGTACATTTTGTAAAGGTACCTTTCATTGTTAAATTGATTTGAGGATCCACTACGTGAGTTTTATATATTTTGCTAAAAACACCTGAAACCTACGAAACAAGAATTCATAAACTTTACAATAATTTATTGGTAACAAAAATACCTAATTTCTTCTGTGATCTGTTGAATCTCAAGGAAAGGGTGTCCTTTCTAAAACTTATTTTGTAGGTCTATTAACTTTTAAAAATTCTGAATAACTGGCTTTGGCTTGGTCTGTCCGATGCACTATACTTTGGGGAGAATGTTAGAAGTATCTACAAGACTTTAGAAGACTGACTAACTAAATCAAACTAACACTGAATTAGGCTTACACACTTTCAAACTTACGCTGATCGTAAACTTCTGGTAGTCAAAAGATGTGATATTGTTGCTCCCTTATTAGGCAGGCAAAGAGCCGCAATAATGATGCCAATTAATTCTTTGCAACAGGGCATAGGAGAGGAGGTACCTGATAAAAATAAACATGATATTTTTTTAAAATGCTTTTGCTGCTTCTTCCCTAGCTGGAGCAATGAAAAGAAAGTGGAGGTAGAGGAAGATGAATTTAAAGTAATAATCTAAAATAATGACACTGGCGGAGACGCTGTTTATGCCGATAATCAAGGAATAATTGACCCTAACCATCAGACATTATCTATCAGTGTCCTGAAAACCCTCATTTTGCTCCTCTTTCCAGAGAAAGAGAACTTAAAGTTTATTTATTTAAATAAATTTAAATTTTATTTTAGAGTTTATTTAAAGAAAAAAAACTTTAACGAGGAAGTGAACAGCTTTTGTGAAGTACAGATTTTGCAAAATTAATGGCATACAATATTAATGGCAGACCTCTGCTGTATTCACCGGCTTTTTTGCTTGGGTGCATTTGCAAGGTGAAAGGAAAAAAAACCTGTATCTGTTAAAGACTGAGATATTTGTAAGCACCTCTTTGGCTCCATTCTTCATGGAAATGTATCCCTAAACTTCCTGCACAGGAACAGAATAATGCAAAATGAATTAAAATCTCTTTTTGTCTGTCCCATGCAAATACATGCAAGGAGACTTTCATAAACAAAGTTTCAAGCCCTGACTTTCTCCTCTCAGTTAAGAGCTAACATGTTTCCTCCTCCCTGCTTTCTGCTTGTTATGTTTTGTGTTTGCTTTCTGCTGCTTGCTTGCTTTTTTTTTGCTGCTTGCTATGGCACTGGTGCTGAATGTCGATGAGAGGAAAACTTGACTCACTTGCAGGAAATCATTTTCGGTGATTCGTTTTAATGCTGTAATTTGCTTTTATTTTCTCAGGTAGTAGACCGACTACAGTAGGTGCTCACACAAATACTCAGTTTACATACTGCTGCTAAGCAGAAATACGTGAAACAAGGAAAAAAAATCTGAGAGCAAGAAGCGCACATATACCATCACCCTGTGAGTGAATCCTTGGACTGACACAAACAGCTTGTGCTTCAGACTGTGTTTGAACTTCAGTTTGTCACATATGTTCAGCTCTGAGCCTTCTTTTGCTCATATTAGTAAGACAAATTAAGGAGTATTACAACTGCCTGTGCAGTTTGCCTCCATACCAGATTTCCCCTGCCTTTTTTTTTCCCCACACTCTCACCCATCTTCCCTTCTTCCTCACCTTTCTTCCACTGATGTGGAGATGTCTGAAATATTTATAAAGCTCTTCCTGAATGTTGGGGTTCAGCCCCAGGCAGCAGCTCAGCACCACGCAGCCGCTCGCTCACTGCCCCTGCCCCGCTGGGATGGGGGAGAGAATTGGAGGAGTAAGAGTGAGAAACACTCCTGGGGTGAGATAAGAACAGTTTAATAATTGAAATAAAGGAAAATAGTAGCAGTAATAATGATATAAAAGTAGTAAGAATACACGAAGCAAGTGATGCACAATGCAATTGCTCCCCACCCGCCGACCGATGCCCAGCCAGTTCCCAGCAGCGATCGCTGCTCCCCGGCCAACCCCCCCAGTTTCCATACTGCCCATGACGCCGGATGGTATGGAATGGCCCTTGGGGCAGTTGGGATCAACTCTTCTGGCTGTGCCCCCTCCCAGCTCCTTGTGCCCCTGGCAGAGCAGGGGAAGCTGAAAAGTCCTTGACTGGCATAAGCAGCACTGAGCAACAACTAAAAACATCAGCGTGTGATCAGCATTCTTCTCATCCTAAATCCAAACCCGCTTGCCCTGCTACTAGGAAGAAAATTAACTCTACCCCAGCCGAAACCAGGACACTGAACCATCACTTAAGTCTGACATAGTGACCTAAGTCAATGCTGGCTTCAGTTTGCTGTAACTTGACAACCTGTAAACTGTGATGGCTTAGGAAATACTTCACATGCAATTCACTGATCTGTCAGCGAGGACGGTGACCTCCGCCAGAAGGATGGGATGGCAAATGGAGTGACGGTCCTGGCTGCTTGAGTTTCATTTCTGCTGGATCAACTCCACAGGCCATTTTTGTTAAGCACAGCATGATCTGCACTCGTGTGACAGAGATAAGGTTAAGTTCTGTGTTTAGTGCTATGTATGAGACGAGGAGGCTGAGGGGAGACCTGATCGCTCTCTACAACTACCTGAAAGGAGGTTGTAGTGAGGTGGGTGTTGGTCTCTTCTCCCAAGTAGTTAGCGATAGGACGAGAGGAAATGGGCTCAAGCCGTGTCAAGGGAGGTTTAGGTTGGATATTAGGAAAAATTTCTTCACGGAAAGGGTGGTCAAGCATTGGAACAGGCTGCCCAGAGAGGTGGTGGAGTCCCCATCCCTGGAAGTGTTCAAAAAACGGGCAGAGGTGGCACTTGGGGACATGGTTCAGTTTGGTCTACCCTTGATTGGTTTAGTGTGGACTTGGTAGTGTTAGGTTAATGGTTGGACTGGATGATCTTAAAGGGTTTTTCCAACCTAAATGATTCGATGATTCTATGATTCTATGCTGGTGAAGTAGACCCTCAGAGCAGGTACAGTCCATGATGTGTGTCATGGGGTTCATAGACAGCATCGTGCTTTAGGGAGTCCTGTACCTCCTGTCTGAAAGCACCCAGCTGGAAGGTGCTGTCGGAAGGATTTTTAAGCAAAAAGTGGCACTGTCTTGAAACATGGACTTTTCAAGTGTTTGAAGAATGCTTAGAGTAAGAGGTGTTTGATGGAAATGTTGAGGGTTATCACAAGTCTAACAAAGGTAACTGGAATGCAGAAGATTGGTTTGAAAGTATGGTTATAAGCTTGTAGAACTAAGCTTAGATAACCTAGCTTTGTTTTCATTCATACCTGCATTTTATGCCCCTTTTCTGCTGGCCAGTCTATACCATAGAGAGGACGTGAAATCCGTGACAAGAAAAGATCCGGTAATAACAGGGCAATTTGTGTCCAAGCTTATGTAGGAAAGTAAATTCTTTAGTCAAAAGCATGTGCTGAAGCTGGCAGTATTTCTGTGAAATAGGAATGTGAAATAAAGGTACGTGAAATGTAGCTAAATCAGAATTTCCTGATCTCGTTATATGATATTAACCAAATATGTGGTGGTTCGCGGCATTTCCAGAAGATACACGGTTCACATAGAAAATTGAAAGATCCTGAATTATATATCTGTGAAGTTAGACCTTGATGTTGGAGGAAAGTTAGTCACTCAGAAGAGTGCAAAAAGAAAAAGCTGTAGGAGCCCTGGCAGCTACATGTGCAGCTGAGCTCTTTGTTCCAAGGAGGGTCCTGTTAATTTTCTCGAGGATCCTTATGGGCTACATGGTCCCTCCATGCAGAGTGAATTAGAGACTTGGGAAATAATCTAACAGGAACTGATAAATCTGTGCATTAGCGGTATATAGAATGCCAGCTGTTGGAACAGATGAACTGCTGAAAGCAGATGCAGTTTTTTAAGAGAAAGTGTTCCATGTAAAATACCGTTACGAAACTTTTTCGATAAACACTTTTTGGGCAAATGGTATTAGAAGAGCAGTGTTCCAGGATTTTTATGTGAATCAGTAGATTATATATCCATGAGATGCTGGAAATTTGTATTATTTGTGGGCAGTGGTTGTAACAGATATTCTGCTGCTTGCATTTTCTAAATGTGGTCCTCAACTAGCAGTCACAGTAAACCAATATGAAATGGCAGCAGATCTTACAGGTTTGGCAGTAGCAGAGCACATTCCTTGGGATTTGGATCAAACCTCCGAAGTAACTTCTTCTTGAATGTGATTTGTGGGTTACCGAATTCATAAAAAATTTTATTTTCCTTTATTTTCAACGTTCAGGCAAATTTAACCTATCGCAAATCCCCAGCTGGAGTTGGGCAAATGTTCTATCAGCATATTCGGTGTAATAGATGAATCACGTGAATGTTGCCAATACACCCAGTTCAGACTGTGTATGAATTCAGAACGCTTTGGAGGTTGCTTCACATCGATCCTTGCTCCAATAGAACAAAAAGCAACAACAACAACAAAAGATTGGGGGGGAGAGAAAAATACATCATGTACATACTGAGTGCAGTCACGATTGAGAAAAGCAGGGAAAATACGATCACTGCATGAAGATGACTGTGCTAAACACTGAAAAAATATACTTTTGCTTTTAGGCTTGATAGGAGCCAGGGCTTGTTCTTCAAAACTAGGTTTGTTATAGTGAGTTTTGACCTTTCTTTCTAATATTGCATTAGGAATTCGAATAGAATTGCAAACTTTTATTTCCATGACAACATGCTGTTTGCTTTTAAATGTGTAAAAAGTCCCTGTACTTCTGAGTTAAGAGGAACTGCGTTGATTGTAGCTGCTGCAACCACTAAGAAGTAATAAGCCACTCTATTTTAAATGTCTGTGTGAAAGCAGTTCACATGTTAATTTTAGTTTTCCTGCAGCACTCTGTTTTGACATTTGAATGAACTTCAGGCCCTCAGCACTGCACCACTACAGCTTGATTGTCCGTAAAGGATGCTGTAAAAAGCTGGTAGATACAAAATTTCATTGTTCACAATTGTTTGGGTGTTTCTCTTTTCTCAAGTGCATCCTGACACTGTGAATTATTTGGGTTTTTTATTTTGAGTTAAGATTATTTTTAAAAAAATATGCTTGGAAGACATCTCAAAGTATGGATAAATCTGTCCCACACTACAAGGCACAACCACATCGTTCTCAACAGATAAAAATGTAGCCTGCTCTTAAAAATCTCCAGTGATCAAGTTATACATTTCTTGATTACTGGAACCTTAAGCTATTTTGCTCAATTATTTAAAACTAATTTCTTGCCTCCAAGATGAAAATAAGAGTGTCTGTGCTCGTGTAATCCCCCAGGAGGGGAAATATTTTAATCAGAAGAAAGCGTGTGGGTGTAGGTGTGAACGTGTGTGCAACTGAAGATGAAATCGTAGACCTTTGTTTGTGAGGTGCTTACTGCTTTTATTGGCTTACAGGTAGTATGGAAAGTTTTCTAACAGATGCAGTAGAAGTCAGCAGATCCTGATTTGAAACGAACTGTGCTTAGTTTATTTAAATAGAGTGGCAGCCCTGTTGCTCATTGCGAGGTACCTCGTATTCCTTCCGCTCTGGCTGCGCTGGGGTGGTTTGTGCAGGACTGGCAGAGGGACCGTTCTGCTCGCCCTCAGGTCAGGTACCCTTGCCCCGCGTCTTGCGCGAACGCTTCTTGCAGTCAGGAGGACCGCGCTTTGTGATCCAGTAGCTGCTTTCTAGCCCTGAATCATGCCTATATTGCTAACTGCGAAGGAATTTCTATTTCAACAAAAAGCCTAAATTAAAAGGAACATAATAGGATGGTGTGGACATCACATAGAATCATAGAATTATAAGTGATAACATACCTGATAACATCCCCTTTCTAAAATAAAGGACCAACAGCTAATCACAGAATCATAGAATCATCGAATCGTTTAGGTTGGAAAAGACCTTTAAGATCATCCAGTCCAACCATTGACCTACACTACCAATGTTTGCGTTGAAGAGGTCTCAGACACTAATACAGGGAAGGGGCACGTACTGCGTTTTTTTAAATATCCAAGGCCAGAGATCTTTCAGTTATCAAATCTGTTAAAAGTCATTCTCTGAGAGTGCCTCAATTTCTTGGGCGGCGTACAAAGCGTCTTTGTATGTGGAAATCCACGGTGTAGCTATTTCTGTGAACATTTGCAAACCGTGATGTCTAACAGTAGTCAGGCTTTTAGAAAAGTAGCTTTTGGTGAAATTCTGCTGAAGGTAATGATTATTTTTTGTTGGTGCTATACGACATGTTTCTGCATAGTTAAGCACTTCTTACAAGTCTGATCTGGAGAACGTAGCAAGCAACAATTAAAGATACGCAATTCTTCCGTTTTTACGTGAGGTAGGCATGAGATACCAGTAACTTACACCTACTTATATATGACATCTGTTTTATCCAAGAAAAAAAATTCAAATTAAAACATAGCAGTCTCTATGCAGTAAGTACCACCAATGGCATATATAATTTTGGATCAAAATGAACACTTAATATTAGCGATTCTGAATGCTAATCCTTAGGATTGTGTCTAATATAAGTCAGTGGAAATTTCAAGAGACTTTATTGGCAACAGAATTAGGGTAGTCCTGAGTTGGAACATAACCTTACCAAATGCTTTAATCAATATCCCAATATTGGTTTTCACTTAAATGTCACAGAAATTGGTATTTATTCCAATACCATATATTGGTATTTATTCTTAATAAAGACAACTTCTTTCTTCAGAGCAATTAGAGAAGAAGTAATTATTCACGGATCAGTGCTGAACAAGACTGCATGTGGCTTTTTTACTCTTTTCTAAATTGGGAATGGATTTTATGTATATAAGGGCAAAGAATGAACAACTTTCTCTTTAAATACAACATAAACCCAGATGCTGCAGATCATTATATATAAGTGCTATTTGCTTGTCTCAGCAATTGTGTTTCAAAGTCTAATGGGTTATTGATATCAGAAAGTGCAAATTTAGCTCATGATTTTTGTGATACACCCAAAAGAATTTTTTCCTTGATACATCTGTAATGTATGTTACTGTACAAAATTCTGTGCTGTTCTAATTAGATTCCTAGTGTAAGCAAAATTCGCGCTTTAACAGTGCTGCAGTGATGTACCCCAATGGGAACTGGTGTGTTATAGTGAATTTCATGTTACCTTCTCCTCTGAAATCAGGTTAAATTTCTATTTATAGAGGTGGAAAGCTAATATACCAGCCCAGTGGTATAGTTATCATTAGTGGAGTCCTTAAATGTGAATAAAAAAATATGGCAGAGGATCTGTGTTTTCACAAAGAGGTGCTGTAGAGGAATGGGGTGTTGCATTCAAAGAGCAAAAAACTCTGCTCATTGCGAACGAGTCTATTTTTTTATTTCTTAACTCTGTGTTTGAACTGCCAAAAAAGCAATATTATAAAGCACAATGATGCACATCTCAGTCATGCATTTATTTCCTTTTCCTGTTTTGTGTCAGACTAATGTATGCGACAAAGACCAACACCTCTTTGACTGGGATGCCTTCAGTTACTTGTTTCACCTGCAGTTAAGATTTAAATTGATATATAATTGTTTTCAAAGTATCTAAGTTTCTTCTTCAGAATGTCTAGCAGTGTCTACAGATTATAAAGGAGTTATAGATGCTATCATTTTTTAAATGTAGGTAATCTGATTTGGAACTCTTGAGCCCAATATATGTGAATTTCTCATTTTTAATTTATGTTTTTCAGTAGAAGGACAGTCTTTTCTTGCATGGAGACAACACACAAAAAAATGCTTTCCTGAAACAGCCAGTTTCAATAGCTGCTTGGATAATTTCATCAGCAGTAAATCTTAATTGCATTTGAAATTGTGCTGACATTTCATAACATGTAGGAAAGCATATTTTTGTTCCCTTAAAATAATACTAAAAAAAAAAAAAAAAATCACAAACGCTGCCACAAAATTATAGCAAAAAAACTGCGTGAAAGAATGTGCTGTAATTTCCAGCAGAAATTCTTAACTGGAAGTGTTCTTTAGAAAGGAAACAACCAGACCCACTGCTGACGCTGTATAAAATATCTGTAGAACTGCCAAACATATTTATCTTCCATAAACCTGAAGACTTGTAGCGCTTCAGCAGTAGTCCAGTCTTGATTCCAGTGACCCAAATCCTTTTGATTTAAATGGGGCTTGTTATGCGTTGAAAGTTTATTAAGTGCACGTGTGGCCATGAAATTCTGATTACGGTGACCTAAACCTGCGGCACGTGTGCAATTTCTGCTACCTCTAGTCGTTAATGAAATGTTGTGGATTTTGTTTATTAAAACTAAATGGATGTATACGGTAACGATCATGGAGTAGTAATTGGAACTGTTTTGATGATAAGATGTTAGGGGCCACTATAGAGGGAAAATGCTGTTTCACATGGTTTGATATATATATTTTTGGACACTTTAATGAGGAGTCTGATTCTGTTTCTTTTTTAGATCTTTTTTTTAATACACTGGTGGTGCACATGTTCTGGATAAAAGCAATCGAGAGGTCCATGCTGAAACGTGGAGAGCGATGGAGGAGCTCTATCAGAAAGGTGATATAATAATGAAAACCAGTCTTGGCAGAAGGAATTACAGTGCATGTTGGGATTTGGGGAATTCATAGCGAGAGATGTTCAAAAACTTAACTTGAACAGGATGCTCAGATTTCAGTGGGATTTGGGGGTGTGAGTTATGTGAATCTCTTCGGAAATTGCAGCATTAGCATTTTGGTAAGTTAAATAAGAGAGCTTAGTGTTGCTTGTAAATAATACATTGCCAAATGCTGCCCGGGAGATTAATGATGGTGTGCATACTTTCTTGAGGAAATCTACAGATTACATTGAAATGTATATGCCACTATAGAACATCTTTGTAGTAGCCTCCTCTGTTTTAAGTATAAATTATGCTAAGTTTTACTTCCTTTAGAATTTTTTTTTTTTTTTAATTGTATGATGCCATTTTCCATATCATATGTTGTGGTACTTTATAGATCCATTTGTGTTTTAGAAAAGGTCAACAAAACAAAATGGCTAGATGAGAAACAAATGCTCAACTGCAGATTCTTTGGTACTAACTTTTGGAAAAAAAATTGAAAGAAAGGAGCTGTTCTCTCAAGTTCTGATAACCGTCAATTTGATTTTTTGGTGCACTGCCAGCTTCAGTTTACCTTCATAGCGGTAAGAGGAGTAGACTGTCCCAATCAAAATTTATCATGTAGATTTAAGAGGAGGATTTTGCTCCTAAAGTATGCAGTATTATTAGAAATAGTGTCGTAAGAGAAGATCCTGTCATGCAGTTCTTGGGCAATGTGGACCACCCTGCGTACAGCTTCAGAGAAGTTCCACGGACAGGGAGAAGACTTCTTGGATTAAGCAGTCTATCCGCTAACCCAGAGTTACTGAAATAGTGGTTGCAGCAGGAGAGTTGTACAAAGGCAATTACGGGCTGTGTGCCGCTACCGGTTTTATCAGAGCAATAAATAAACCTGTTCTCTTGGACTTTAGCCCTTCAGTTCCTTTTGGTCTGCCTCTGGAAACGCAGAAGTAAATTATCTTTGATACATCTTTTCTTCTTGCTTTTTATATTAAGCATAAGGGAAGTTGCAAAAAGTGTTTTCTGCCATGTAAGGGATTACAACATTCAGTTTTTAAAGAAACACTACACTGACCTAATATTTCAAAGCATAAACGACTTTTAAGTCCAAGGATGGATTATTTGACAAGGTACTTAATCTTTCCATTGGGAAGTTGCTTTGTTATTTTTTTTTTCTGATGAGTATTTAAGTTAGTGCCCAGATATGCCATCCTGATTTGCTGCAAACAGGTTGTATTTTCACCTTCTATTATTATTCCTATCTCATTGGCTTTATTCTGCTTTTGCATGTGTGTTTGTGATCTTTCCTGTCTTACACAACTCTTTCTTTCTCTGTATATCTTCCTAATGGGAAAGACATATATATGTATATTATTGGTTAATATCTCCTAATGGGAGAGCTATTCAGTGGCCTTCCAGTAAGACACTGGAAATACCAGCACTGGCCTCATAGGCAGAGGAAAAATTACTTTTATTTTCTTTCCTATGCGTGATACCTCTTTACTTCCTATGCGTGATACCTCTTTACAGACATCCCATGTTATATTTATTTTTCCTGCAATTGCCGTTCTTCAACTGTTTTGTCAATTTGCATGTTGCTACCCTCAGTCTTTTTCTGAATTTAAGCACTCTGTGGACTCGTGATTCATTTAGCTGAGCCTAAGTTTTCCGGCTCTGGTTGTCTAAATTACCTCAGTTAGATCATCTACAGGGGAAGGAAAATTTATTAGTCTGGTTGAATCAAGTGCCTCAGAACATTAACCTCCCCATTTTTGCTTTAAGGGATACAGACTCTGGATGTCCTGACCATAACTATGTGTTACTGAAATGACAGGCAAATGTTAACCACTCTGGACATGGAAAAGCAATGATTCCCGAGGAAAATGTTAAATAATTTGTTTGCATGGTTAACCACTAGACTTTCCACTGAAGATTAAACACTTGCTGCGTATCTTTATGTGACTAGCTATGTGTTATGTGAGCAACATGTTAGCCTTGGTATGAATTGAATATAGGATTTGGTCAAAATTCTCACTTGAGGAAAAAAAAATCATCTTCATTTGTTGGGGAAAAATTGTAAGTTCTATACAAAACAAGTGAGTTCTTTGTCTTCTCTGAACTGGACATTGGTTCAGGTAGTCATTGGTTTCTGTTTGCAATCCTGTTACTTTTTTTTTAGGAAATGTTTATTCTGGAAAAAAAAATTAGTAGAAACTAAAAGCTTCACATTTAAGGATGGACCGTTTAAATGAATAATATGCTTCTGCAGTGAATCCGTGAAGGAAATACTGAAATTTTTCAACTTGCTATTGGGTTTAGCAACTAGCTGTGTCCATATTGAAGCGTGTCTGAAAGTGCAGTGACAATAAACACTGTTCTCTGTAGAAAAAAAGTTGGTTTTTTTTGTTATGGGACTCATAATGCATATCTATCTGCAGGAGACTTATGAGATGGTTAAAAGAGCTCAATATTGACCTAAGTCTTTGGCCTGGCTGAAGTTAACAAGATTTTCTTTATTGCTTCTCTGTATTCACAGATTGTTTGAGTGCAGATATTGGAAAATCTCATTCTTTCCACTTCAGTTTAAATCCAGGTTAATATTTATTCTGCAAAATTCCACTTACCTGGGGCAAGCAACATTTTAAAATAATGTAAATTATTAATAGCCTTTTTTATTGTTATTACCGATTGCCCTAGGAGGAGGGTAAATAAACTGTTAGTACCCAAGACTGCAGAAGTCTTTAATGCAAATCTTTTTAAGATTGTGTTAAGTTTTAGATTGGTCACAATGGTCACAAGTTGACACAAGAAAAATCCCAACGGCCTCTAGATTCATAGCTTTGAGAGAATTTTTTTTTTTTTTTTTTAGGTCATGTCTACAAAGATAGGTTCAGCCCGGTTCACGTGAGAGGCAGCACACAGCAGCTGAGACGCAGGACTGCAGCAGCACAACTTGCAGGGCTTCTGGCCTGACGTATCTTCTCACCCAGCTAACTGGGGAGAGAGCAGAGGTTCTGGGTCCGTGCCCCTGGCCAGGTCAGCATGCACTAATTTATAAGACTCTGCCCCCAGATAATAAAAACTCTGTGTGACAGGTTAAAAAAAAAATCTGAATTATTTGTCAAAATTATTAAAATAAATGTTTTAGGGAGCAGAAGACTTGCATAAAAAGCTAAACAAAACTCCTCAGATCATCATGAGCCCAATTTTAGTAAACTCCTAAGTACCTCTGGCTGCAGAAGAAATAGTAGGTTTATTGTTATTTGAAGGCAGCATGTGCCAATGAAATCGGTGTGCAAACTGGTAGATGTGCATTCATGGGGATGTGTGGGCATCCTTAAGTTTACTGTTTCTTAATCCTTGACTGCTTAGTAGTGCTTCCTATATACACTCTTAATGAAGGTCTGGAGTTGAGCTGTAACATCAGAATATTCTCCTAAATAGAAAATAATGGGTTCAGGTGACGAGAAAGATCTTGTGCTATCACTGAAAAATCCCCACTGTGGCTTACCACTATACTGTTTTTGTATTTCATCAAAGGGAATTTGAGGTTAACATTTTTCAAAAGAATCTCTTGTCCTGATACAGTTTGAACTGGAAACACGAACAATTTAAAATGAGACTCTGAACAGTATTTGTTAGAGATCTGGTTGCCCTCTCCAGTTGATTACTTAGCATACTGACGTTTGGGGCTGCACGCCTTGGATCCGGTGTGCTTTATATCTTTGGAAGCTAAACAGAATCTGGTTACTGCCCCAAGGCTGGGGGCTCAGGACCACACTTGAAAGAAGGTTTCACATTTTCACACTCTCACCCTTGTGCTTGAATCCACTGTTCAACTGCCTAAGGCAACTGAGCAGCTATCTCAAGATCTTGCTTCAGGTTAAAAACAATTTCCCAGAATCCTGGGCATTTTTCTTGAGATTTTTCATGAGGGAGACCATGACAGAGAGGAGAGCATGCCCAAAAACACTCGTAGGGATTCTGAAGCCACTGTTGTCCTTTGCTGCAACAGTATGAGATAATACATTTATTATCTACGTTAAAATAGCACACCCCAAAAGTTTTAACCGCTTTAGGTGTTTGAATCCCTCTGGGTTGTGTCTGAAACGTGGTCCTGTGTCTTTAGTGTTTGTCCTTGAGCTACAGAGTCTTTGGCTAAACATGCTCATCTTCTGTTTTCTCCTGGCTAAATCCTTCAGTATGTTTCTTAGAGCCCATTAAAGGTCCTGCCAGCATCTCTCCCTCTTTAACTTGACATTAATTAAGAAATTTGTATATTTTTACCCTCTATCCTCTCTTCCACACAAACAAGGCAAGGTTATACTTTTAGTTTGCTCTTTTAGTATTCCTGTTGTATAGCCAGAGTCCAGGCATTAAATTTGCTGGTTTCCCTAAATAGCTTTTCAGGGGAAAATGTCATACGGTCCTGGTCAACAAAGGTAGATGCATATTTACAGGGGTATACAAACCTATAGCAATTGTATCCTTCCATAACATGAACCAAAACTTATCTATTGTATGTACATTTCCCCAAATCATACAGAAAGTGTATTGGAATGCTTATTTGTCATATTAATGAATTATAACACTGCTTGATTCATGAGACATTCACATGCTGCTTAAGAAAGGATCCAATGCAGAGATTTCTGTTTTGTCTTACAGTCTGCTGTCTTCCGTAGGTCTTCAGACCCTGGGATTTGGATGCGTTTAGGCCCAGCCTTGCTTCCAGAGGGAATTGTGCCATCTCTTACGGTAGCTCAGGGATCAGAAGTTTGCGCCAGGTCTTGGTAGTCAGCCCAAGTGATCGGAAGATTTTTCTAGTGGGAAAGCTCCTTAAGGAACTGCAGCAATTTCTGCGATCGGTCATTGCAACGGGAACAAATGAATGGAGGAGGATAATTATGGTTTTCTTTACTGTTTTTAGGATTGTAGTGTGTACCTGGCGGTATGGAATAAA